ACTGAGGATAATGAGAATAACAAAAAAAAAATCCTCTAAAATTAAATTTCCACAAATTATATAGTAATGAAAATTCCGGGGAAATTTACTCATGAAAAAAATGTCACAATGCAAAAAATCATAATAGTTCAAAATTAGTCTATCTTTTATTTCGATTTTGTTTACATATGTTTGTGAGATTCACCCATCTAACTACATACATTTTTAAATGCAATATTATATTATAAAATATATAGTACTTTAATTTTGTAAATATCTTATTATTAAAAATATTTGTATTCTAAATTTTTGTTTTTGTTTGTGTATGTTTTCTTCAGGTGCTTTCAGAAACGTGGCGTCTGTCCACCAGTCAGACTCCACTCCAGCAGGTGGAGCTGTTTGATTTCGTCAACCACCCAGACTACACAACCTGCGGTGGAGGATTTGGCCCGGTCAGAAATATTCATGCATATTCACTTAACACTTAAAGGGTAACTAAACCCCTGACTCCACCCACTGGCAATATTTGAAAAATGCTGGAAAAGTGGGAACTGGGAAGAGTCCAGCGGAGGGGGGGCGTGCATCTCTCTGTAGGCAAGGGCGTGGTTAGCTGGTACCACAACTTCCAATAGGAAAATTCAACTGCAGTAGCCACCGTTCAACCTGAAGAGGGCAGCACTCAGACGTTTTTAACACCATATATTGTAGAATTAAACCCTTTAAACCCAAATGTCAAAAAATATACTCGAATCAATTAACAGCATTTATGAAGCTCCATTCTTACAGATCATTAACTAAAAAAAGTTTTTTTAGTGTTTAGTTACCCTTTAACCATTAACATTCAAATTGTTTTTACTCAATTGTCTGTGCATTTCTATAAATGTTCGTCTGTGTGCTCTTCACAGGTTGCAGATGATGGTTATGGCGTGTCTTACATCATCATCGGAGAAAACATGATCAACTTCCATATTTCCAGCAAACACTCCTGCCCTCAGACTGTTAGTACACTAAAATATGCTTCCGTTACCAATTTCCTGAAATCAAAGGAAAAGAAAAAATAGAGACTAGGAAACGATTTGAGAAGCTAGCTATGTTTCCACCCATCTATTTTTCAGCACAATTTGGGATATTGCATTAAAACACTGGATGGAAACACCAAGATGCACAAATTCAAAAAAAAAAAAGTGTATATAAAAAACGTAATGCCTCAATTGAGGTGCATACATTTATTATCTGATTTGCAACTTTGGATGGAAACATAAAGTCTTGCTAAAGTTGGTAGGACAAAAACTCAGATTAACATGGCAAATATAACATTTATGGCTTTCTCTATGGTGCTGCACCTGATTATGACAGTGTTTGATGACAATCACATGTAATGCTATTTTGGTTTGGTTTGCAGGATTCTCACAAGTTTGGAGCTTATATCAAGAAGGCCTTGGTGGATCTCCTGGAGCTGATGTCACCGGAGAAGCCCGACCTGTCTAAAGCTGAGCAGAACCACTCGAAAAACCCTCAGAGCAAAAAAGACCTGTAGAGGTAGAACAGATTGCCTATGACGGTCAAAGGAAGACATGAGGCCACTGTGTGTGAGAGTGTGTGTGCGTGTTCGTTTGAATGCACGTTTGTTATAACCTACAAATATGCATTCATACATTCCATGCTTGTTGTAATCAATGCCATGAAGCCATGAATAACATAATAATGTAAAAATGGTGGAAGCTGGTTCTTCAGAAAAACGTATTAGTACAAAATAACATTTATGACAGAGGACTGAAGGCGAAAGGTAGTGTGGTAGCGGAAAACCTTTGTGTTTTCCAGTAGAACAGTTTTCAATATTTAGATTTAAATGAGGTCCTCACTTTTAATTGTAATAACGAATCAAAAATGATTAGTGTACATTATCGCCAGATGATGGGAATCTAATGGTTAATGATCTGACCAGTTAGTATAATGGTTGTAGGTTCATAACAAGTTAGGATGACATATGAACGGTAATGCATCACCTCTGTACCTTCTGATGAAGGCACTTCACTGCTCTTACAGTACAGTAAATCACATCTAATAGAAACTCTCCATCTGAACAGGTTATGTTAAGGTTTAAGTCTCAGAATAACTTGATCTTGGACCAAAATCCAGTGACGTTTTACTTGAATCCCAGAGCAGATGTACATTTACAATTTCAGTGACCAATGACTCAGAATATTACATGTGACTGCAGTTTTAATATGATTGTCCAAATACATTTATATGTTCATCTCACTATTAAGTCTATTAATTTTAACTGTTTTTTTATTTAAAAGTACTGCTTTTTTTTATATACACAAGGTCAATTTACAACTTAATTATTCACAATGTATTGGTTTGAGAATGTCTTAATAGGTATTAAAAGTGATGCCAGAGGAGAAAACATTTATGCCACGACACATTTCTGTTAATATCTCAGGTGTTTCGAATGCACAATTAAACTTAAAAGATGAATCACGGCCAGTTAATTGTAGTTAGTTCCTGTTTACTGCTTCCTTAAAGGGATAGTTCACCCATAAATTCTGTCATTAATCACTCACCCTTATGTCGCTCCAAACCTGTAAGACTTTCATGATCTTCAGAACACCAATAAAGATATTTTAAATGAAATCTGAGAGATTTCTGTCCCTCCATTGACTGTCTGCCACTCAACTACCATGCTTTAAAAAGTTCATATGAAATTCATATGAATTGAGCAGTTTAGTCTAAATTTTCTGAAGAGACACGATCGCTTTATATGATGAACAGATTGAGATCGAGAATGAACCCTTATTGGTTCTCACACGTCAAACGATCATGCTTTCCATTTACTACAACTGATGTGTGAGTTAATGAATGTTTAAATGTGAATAAAAGCCTAAATTAAATCTGTTCATCTTATAAAGCGGTCGAGTCTCTTCTGAAAATTTGGACTAAACCGCTCAATTCATATGGATTCGTTTTACGATCTTATGAACTTTTTGAAGCGGTAGTTGCATAGCTGTCAATGGAGGGACAGAAAGCTCTCAGATTTCATCAAAAATATCTTCAATTGTGTTCTGAAGATGAATTAAAGTGCCGGTATTATTGGAATGAAATGTAAATTATGACAGAATTTTTATTTTTGGGTGAACTATCCCTTTGACTCTTAAGAGACCTAGATGCTAAGTATATAGTGCAAAATCTTGATTTGATTTTAATTTTAATTTTTAATTTATGTACTTGGAATCCATTTATATGGTTAACCATATTCTAATGAACTAATTAAATTGCAAAAATGCTTTCAAAGCTAAATGTGGTCTTGATTAATATGTATTTACTATTTAATAATAGTAATAAACTTTAAAAACATTCCGATGTAACTTTATTTTTTTTAAAAAAGTATAAAACTGAAAAGTGATTAAAAAAAACAGAAATTGATTTAATCTGTTATTGTAATATGCACTAATAGACAAACTAGAGTTAGAATGTGATGCAGGACATATTACTATAATCATACTACTATAACTCATATGATTAGACAATTGTTGCATTAGAACATACAACACCAAAAACTGTTTTTGCAAAAGGATATGAAGGTGGTGACTGGTTTCACAGGTAAAGGAATGAGATATGCTTATCAACGTCAAACATTTACAATCAATATACAGGCCGCATAATGCTGTATTTCAGTATTTGTTGTCGCTGTAAGCCCTTTGCTACACTTAGCCGGACTGAGAGCAAGGGCTTGTAAACTTCCTCTTAGTTTTCAGTTTTCTCTTTGCAATCTGTTGGCAGCTGTACTTTTTATTATCTCTGTTACACCCTCATACTTGGCAGATATAAAGTTGCCTTTTGAGTGCGCGAGATCTCGTTTGCACAACTCCTAGATATTGTCATTTTGCAAATATCGATATAGTTCAAAAAGGCCTGTATCTTCTGTTCTCTCTAACACTGCTTACACTGTATATCTCACTAGAATTTAAACCTTACTGAAGGATTTTTTAATTGTTGTTGTTCTATTCTTATTGTCACTATTCTAATAATTAACTTGAAACTGAAAACAGTAGCAATGTAAGTGTTTGTGTAGTGCTGATATTAATGTGGAGCGGCAGTGTTTTACCTCATCTGTCTTATGAATGTTGAATCATCAGCGATCGATCTCTCCTCTGTCCCGGGCCAGTACTGTATTCTCTGCTTGACTTGTTCTCGGATTTCCTTTGGGCTCAGACTATCTGTACACCGCAGAGCTTTACACTTTCTCTCTTACTCTGGAAATCTGTCTTTCCTTTACATTTTGTATGTGAATGAAAAGGAAGAGACAACATGTCACTTTTTTTAATTAAAATTGTTCAAGCACACACGTGTTTGTGGTTTTATTATAATGGCGTGATGTTTGTGTTTTGCTTGATCAACATGAACGTTCTCTCAGAGTTAGGGATGCGCCGATATCGATAACCGACAATTGTTTATATTTGTAATCGGGCTCAAAAATGATAGGCCAATATTTCAAAAACAAAAGTCTCACCATTAAAAGCCATGTCCCAAGCACAGAACTTATGTATAATGTTTTCATTATAATTTTATGTAGCTTATATGACACTTGTGCTGCACATAACTGTATTTTCCTTTTTGAAATGATTTTCAATATTTCAAGCAATTCAAAACCATCAGTGTGCATCTGAAGGAAATAATCCTTTGTTTATCGGCTTTAATATATTGGCCAACAATAACGTTCAAAATGAACATATATCAGCCGGTACCGATATGGTGTTTTGTTTGTAGTTGTTTTTTCCTATATTACTTTAGTTCTCTTAGTTCTATTACTTTAGTGTTCCTGTTTTTGTAAAGTTTGTAATCTGTGATCTTACCTTAAGAAATGTATCCATTTATTTGAGTCATTAATGCTTTTATTCAATTTATTTGTTTCTTGAATCACCCATCCACACTTGTTTGTGCATTTGTTGGTCATTTAAGCTAATTTAGGCAACACTTCATGATAACATTCATTAAAGGTTAACATACATGAATACATTTATATAATGCTTAAAATCATTAGTCCATCTACATTCAAGCAGCTAGAATCTATATAATTATATATATTGTCATATTCATATTTAAATGTTTGTTAAAGTTATGGAGTCTTGCTTAATCAAATCTCCCATTAAGACAAATTTCAGTTTCTAGTCTGAAATTGCCCTTTTTTTTGTAATTCATCAAATGCATATGGCTGATGTAGTGCAGTGTGTGTTTGTAAAGTGTGTATCTGAAACTGCGAAAATGTCCTTCAGTCACTTTTCCGTGTGAATACTGCATGTGTGTCGCTGCTCTGGTCGTGTGTTGCAGTGAATCCTGATTCTTCAGCGATCTCCTTCACTCTGTCAGCAAAACCTGACACTTGCTCTTTTGAAAGATCCAACAGGAAGCTGAACAAGAAAAACACAGAGATCATGAGCATTCAGAGGTTTTGCTTCCAAGCTATGCATCAAAATGTTAGAATGAGCATGAATGTAAGTTTGATTGTGTGTGTGATGATGGACCCACTTTGCTAACTCTATTAGCAGAGCAGCATCAGGCGCTGCGATCTCTCTCAGAGAAGAATCGAGCTGATGAACCATACTGAGAAAACAGAGATGGTGTTATCATCAGACAGTTTATGTTGGTCACTTGCACACAAACTCAAGTACTGTTTCTGTGAGCTGCATATGAACAGGTTTCACCTGGCTGAACAGAAGATGCTGTTGAACAACTTTCTGTATTTGTTTTTTAGGGGAAGTTTGTTGAGAGAGTCTGGAGACAGAAATGACACTTTCACTCCACTCAGGTTCAGCAAATCTGCAAAAACACAAGAACCCAAAGTAAATGTGTGGAAAACTCTCAAACTATTAAAAGCAGCACTGTTTGATTTGTTTACAGCACTTCACTGACACAATAGGACAGGGGTCGGCAACCCAAAATGTTGAAAGAGCCATATTGGACCCAAAAAAAATAAAAAATATCTGTCTGGAGCCGCAAAAAATTAAAAGCGTTATATAAGCCTTATAATGAAGGCAACACATGCTGTAAGTGTTATATTAGCTTTATTAGTATCAAAATGATAAGTAGGCTACAAATTAGAGCTTAGAACGGCCCAAAAAATCAAGCCCGGCCCGGCCCGGCCCGACACATTAAACGTAATTATGAGCCCGAGCCCGATTTTAACCCGACCATTTTTTAATGCGTGGGTCGTTATAACTGACGTTCTCAACTTTCTTTCTCCCGCCCGCAACATTTGTTTTGTCCCGCTCCCGCCCGCAAATACACTTTTTTCTGTACCTCCAAATACTTTCAAGTTAGCCTACGTGTCGCCACCATACATCCTCCTGATAAATTATTTGTTATTAAAGCATTAAAACACAAACCACTGTTAATTTAACATGAAAGCAAGCAGTTTACTGCGTGCATGGTTTGCCATGACTGAATGCGCGCAAAGTGCGCTCTCTTAATAATCCGTAAAAAGATGACAGTTCATCGCGATCTCACACATCTCTGTTATTATCAATGAAGCTGACTGCACAATGAATCTTTCATAATATCCACACTTTGTTCATTATAATTAAAGGATTTGCCAGCATACAGAATTCAGCACTGAACAAAAACGTCAGTTTCGAGCGATGAGGGGAGTCTATCTTAAATGCTTCTGATTGGCCATTGCGTTCAAGAAATCAACACATATGTCTGTGATTGGCTATATCGCTCAACGCTGCAAACATGTTATGAATAGAAATTCTGCCCTGTAAATCGTTTCTATTTTGTTTTAGTAGAGTGAGTGCATTACCGCACGCGCCCGCGCTCGCGCTCGGCCATCAAATCTAGTCCCGCGCCGCACTCTATTGCGTTGGGAGTGCTCAGCTATCTTTCTCTTTTTCCCCTTGGGATCCATGGCCCATGACACACCCGCCGGTTTGTTTGTTTGTTTGTCAGCCACCGGTCTACCATCACGCCGATCTGACAGACACGTGTGTCACAGTCTATGACGTAAATTCTTCAGTGACAGAAATGTTGAAATTAAATATTTATCATACACATTTTTACAACGTTGAAAAACTTTAAGAATATTTGTCATGTTTTTCCTCATACAGAAATTATATTAAAACAAAAAAAATATTTTTTCCATTTTCAAATTTTTGAAAAAGCTCCAGGGAGCCACTAGGGCGGCGCTTAAGAGCCGCATGCGGCTCTAGAGCCGCGGGTTGCCGACCTATGCAATAGGACATTACCAAGTGCTTGTGTGTGTTGTACTGCTGGATGTTGCTCATGTTCTGAGTGAGTTTGAGAGGAAGGTGGATCATTCTGTATCTTCTCTTCTGTTATGAAACTGTCTGTGGATTGACAGCAGGAACTTGGAGGGTTTGGTACATCTTCATTCAGTAAAGAGCTCCCTCTAGTGGCAAGACATTCAAACAACGCCAAGACGTTGACTTCTGAAATATCCTGAGCAGTCTGAGAGAGAAAGATGGCCAGAGAAAGGTAAATCATGTATTGCAATATAATATATATATATCATGCAGTATAAATGACAAGCTATAAAGATAAGTCATACATGTGGTCTTGGACAGTAAAAGAAGTAATGCAATATAATGACATGGTTTTTGTTTGTAACTTCATATTAGGGGGTATTAAATAGTTCCTGTCACCTTTACATGTTGATTGTTCTGTTTCTTCAGCAGGTCTTTGTTCTCGGTCACTATGCCGAACGACAGATATGGACTGGAGACGATGTCCCCCCAATATCCTCTAACAGCGACCTGATCTCCTCTCTGGTACAAACACACACACACCGTTGCATGACAGTGTATCATGGCTCACAACTATTATTGTAGACAGTCAATCTACTCACATGATTGAACACTCGTGTGGAAAGCAGACTCTGATTGGCTGTTTGGTAAAGCCCCTCCCTCATTTCAAAGGCCACACCACTTTCCCTCCATTTCACATACTGATGTTTGCTAATGACGCCACACTAAGAGAAAAATCACAGGATTTTGTAGAACAGTAGTGAGGCAGGCTTCATATCCTTAACTAAAACCATAAAAAAAACTACTTTGTTACTTAAAATAAATCAAATTAAAACTTATTTTATTTCAAGCTAGTTGCCAAGGCAACATTTGTCATTTTCGTTTAGTTTACTTGCAGTACTAAAATAACTGAAATATAAAAAGTAGAAACACACACAAAAAAACCTACAAAATTATTGAAACTTGAACTAAATTTTTGTTTCTTTATACATGGAAACATGGAAAAAGTGTCTTCTGTGAATCGTAAATATGTAATTTAGATGCTGTAATTCGGAAATTCCCTAAACAATCACATTTGTAATAAAATATGTGCTGAAATAAGTCTATTTGGCAAATAACTGTGTAACACACAGTAAATTGAGTCTTATTGCACGGCTCTGATTAGCCTTCCGGAGTGCAGGTGTATAATAATGTCATGTTATTTGCTACATACGCCTCTCTGGTGCAGTTTCATGCTGAGATCCCAGTCGAAACACCCCTGTCGTGAGTCGTAGCGAGTCCCCAGGTGCTGCCGGACACGGGCGTCCCAGACCTTACGCACACTCGCTGGCACTGACGGTGGCTGTTCCCACAGTTTGAAGATCCGGACCAACTCATCTCTCTCCTTAAACTGATGATGAAACGGCAGAGGAGTGGATATCACTGAGATGAGTTTGATTATGACATGCAGTATAGAAACACATATATTAATGTCTGCTGGACCTTCAGAAGGCTTGTATCAAGGCAAGGATGGGCGTGCGAGTTAGAGGACAGAGTGTTTGTGATGGAGAGAGAGAGTTGAGCCGCAGCGTGTTTTAAAGTCTCTTCCGTCTCTTTGCGAATCTCAGAATTCCCAAACACCTCCAGAAACACTTCGGTCTTTTCTAAAAAATACAACACAAATAAACTTCCTCGACTTGTTCTGATCTGAGTATACAAACATGAATGCAATAATATGTGACATTTACAGAGTACAAAAACAATGTATAGAAAAAACAGTAGTACATTTGTATTTTCTGGGGATTTCTACACCTTCCCCTAACTTGAAACAGAAATTGTCTAAATGTGATATAAGTTTATTACATCTCATTTGTATCATATATTTATTATATTCTTTAAAACATTTTTAATATTTTAAAATGTGTGAATACATATACTATGCTGGGATTTATAGGTTAAAAACGTATAATTTTTAAAAGAGCAGAAGCTTTGTCAATATATGAAGGTACGTACTGTGTAGACTCATGTTCTCAGGGGTCTGAAGTGATAAATATAGTAGTAATAATTGTCTGGCAACAACCTCCATGCTGTTCTCAATCACCCACACCTGCAACATGCCACACGTCTCATTATTAACACATTAACATGCACAAAACAGTTGATTTATGTTGTGGTAATATGTCATAAAGGCTATTATTATGCTGTATGTAACAGACTCTGAGGTCAGTGATGAATCACACACATGTAGTGTATCAGAGTGTGTCAGTCCAGTGATGGTCTTCAGGATGTGTCTGGGATCTCCACTGCCCACCAGCAGGACATTCAGCTCTCCATCTGACCTCACCATGTTCTCTGTTCTCAATACATCAAACAAATGTGTGTGAGCATTGATCCATATTTACTGTGTTTTGTCAGATACTGTGATGGTTTATGGTTCACCTGAGTTCAGGAGGTCTCGTGCTGGTCCGAATCCCCACCAGGTCACACACCCCGCGCCCTCGACAGTCCGGCCGGCGCTCATTCTTCACGAGGACTAACTTACGACATTATAAAACAGGATAATGCCTGAATATCCTCCTGGGATCCCGTTTTTAGCGGACTGTTGTGGATTTTAGTTAGCTAGCAGCTGGCTGAACTATTTTTTTTTATTGTCTGGACTAATTTTAATTTTACAGAGACTGCACAAGTATGTGAAGCCGTAATATACGCAACATATATGTAGCAAAGTGTAAATAATCCTCTGTGAAACTCACCTCTCGCTGCTCTTGCCGAGTACAAGCAAGCTAATGTTTGGACCGCGGTTGCTTAGCAACAGGAACCGCGCGCCGTCTAGAGTAGTAGGACACAAACACTGTTCTTGATTCAAGAACTCAAAAATCTCAGAGTTAACTACTTAATGCAAACCCTGCCCAAATAGTATCTATGTGACAAGTGAGCCAAGGTTGAATGCACTGGGAATTCCTGTTGAAACGTGGACTTTATATTATGGTGAGATTCAAGAAAACTGAATAAAATCTAAACCTAATTTTCAAAATTTTCGTCTGCTTCTTCTACAATCTATTTTTTTTTTTACATTAACTTAATTTATCTATTACACTCTAAACAGGTGGGCATATACTTTAAAACATCCATATTATTAATTACTTTGAATATTCAGTGTAGCATTTCCGTCGAAGAACCATAGACTAAAAAATAAGAACATAAGAAATGTCACCTGATCAGCTGACGTGATTCGACTATTTCCAACAAAAAATCTCACCTGACTCGTCACAAGCTGGGAAAACGATAGTTGCTGTTAACAGAAGGAAGTTTATTTATTTATTTATTTTGGCAGATAATTAATACGTATTTTAAGGTGCAAATGGATCGTATGTTGAATTATAACCACATACACCTAATTTCTGCTCTTCAGAAATGGACAGGCATCAGAAATTAAAACGTTTAAAATACCTTTATTGTTTTGAAAAAAGTTATACATAACACTGGACCTCTTTCAGAAATATAATAAGTGTATATTTGTTTCATAGTCGAACATAAATTGGGTATTTAAAAAAAATATATATTTATATTTAACTTCACAATTTCATTATCATTAAAACTAGCAAACGGCAGCGTTTATGTATGTATGTAGGCCTATTATTATTATTTACAAAAGACATACACACGGATTTCGCGTAGACTTATCTGTTGTTTTTTGTTTTTATCATATCTAAAGCAGAGTTTGCCTGTTGTCTGTTCTGTCAGCAGAGGGCAGTAACATGCCGAAAATAGTTTTATGCATTTGTACAAGTTAGGCTACCTTTTATTTTATTTTTTCTAAAATTACTGTAAATATTATAACTTATTTATGTATAAGAATTATGTTAAGAATCATATTATGTTAAGTTTTATAATAATAATAATAATGTTTTAAATAGCTTTATTCACAGTTTCATATTGTCTTTTTTCTAGGCTTACAGTGGATTTTCCATCGGTGTCTCAGGTGTGCAGAAATATTAAAAACAGCTGAAGCTAAAGATATGTCAGAAACTAAGCAAGGCAAGTCAAAACAAACATTATCTATAACTCTAATGCTTCGGCTGAGTCTCACTGTACATAAAACACTATTAGGCTAGGACATGTCTGACAGGATTTTTTCGTTATTAATTATTCTTTTCTCTCTCTCTCTCTTCTTCAGAGTTGTCTCTTGTTTGCCAGTCTGACGCTGCATTTTTTAATCCTGGAGATGATGTCGTTCTGTCATGTCATCTTGAGCCAGCCATCAGCGCTGATGGAAATCATGTGGTGGAATAAGGAGGATCTGCTCTGCCATTATAAGGATGGAAGTCATCTATGAATGTCAAACATTACAAGATACTATTTTTTAGCAGTATCAGCTGTAAGTATTCAAATAAACATGTTTGAAAAATATTCAACATAGGTCAGTTTAAAATTGTTCCTTTTACCTCAACATGTGAACTGATAAAATGCATAGTCAAATTTATTTATAGTTTTCTAGTGGACATTGGTTCAAAGCAGCTTTACAGAACAATATTGCAGTAATAATGTCTTACTATTATTCATGTGGTTCAAAATATTTCTCTGTCCAGCTGAAGACTTTAGTCTTGTGATTCCATGCGTGGCAGACGTCATCTTACCTGTTCATCTCTCACCTGAAACCAGTGCTGTCCATGAACATCAGCTGGTATAGAGAGTCAGAGCTCATTTATCAGTATATGAACGGGCAGGTGAAAACAGTTGATAACTATGATGAGCACTGACTGAGTCTGTCCATCCAGGAGCTGGAGAGAGGAAATCTTTCTCCGACTTCGAGAAATGATCAGCAGTCAGATATAGGAAAATACACATGTAACGTTTTCAGGAGTTATCTTCATGACGGATATCTGCAGACTGGAATAGTTCAATCCAAGTGAAAGGTAAGATGCTGTTTCACATATACATTATTGAACTTTTTTTCTCCAGCTCATTTCTGTTCTTTGTTCATGGAAAAACACATCAGTACTGTTTCATGTATGTTGTTGTATATTTACTGAATATAGCAGGTTAACATTGACATTTAAAAATTTGAAATTTTAGTTCTAGTTAAAATATATAAAAAGGCAAAGCATGTAATATTTTTACATGAAACATACAGTGGCCCTAACATTTTTGGATACTTAAGTCATGCTTGAAAATGTCTGAAATTCATAGGATTAGAAACAAAAAAAAAACAAAAAAAGTGGCATCTGCAAATAAATGATGCTACAGCTTTTCTCAGAACCAGCTTCACTTTTCTGAGCCACTTTTTCAATTATTTTTAATCTAATTTTTTTGCTTTCATGGTTGCGTTTCATGGATGTGTTTCTCAAATTCATTTAAATCTCTACAACTGAAGAATGTTGGTAACCAAACCGTTTTGGAAACCATTGACTTCCATTGTATGGACAGAAAAAAACCTTGACATTTCTTAAAATGTCTTACTTTATGTTAAACAGAAGAAGAAAAAAAGAAATTGTACAGATTTGGAACGGTATGAGGATAAGTAAATAATGATTGAATTTTCATTTTTAGGTCAACTATCCCTTTAACATGTGAACATTTCCCACAAAATGTAACAACCAGCAACATTTAGTCTTTATTTTCAACAATCTATCCATTTCTTTATATTTTGTATCCTAGTCAACATTTTTTTTATTATTATTATTGAAAAGTGTGTTTGTGCTATATTTCTTTAAAAAAATTCCCAGTTGTTTTGATATTTTGAATTGATATATAATGCAAAGACATACACATTTTAAATTGTGTCTCAAGTTTCCAAATACTTTATGGGGCCATCACTGCTGTGCTGCGACTCATTCAAAAATCACCTTGATATTTGGTTTGTTTTAGGGATTCAGAATTGTGGTGAAGCTAGATTGAGACATTGAGACTTACTAAGACAAGTACAGGATGACATTCTGATACTGAAAGTATAACTATTAACAGGAACCTTAGGTTTGCTTTAAGAAACACTCGATCCAGATGACTTTGGTCTGAGACAATGAGAAGAAAATAAATTCTCCAGATTATTACAAAACTGAACTATACATAAAGTAAATTGCCTTTTATATATATATATATCACTTTTTTCTAATCTGAAAGTTTGAGGATGGTCAGAGAATACTACAATGTTACTGTATCTTTAATGGGAAGAGCTATTGAGATGTTCATTTCATTTTTGTTGTATTTAAATTCACAATCCAATCTGCAATGTCATTTTTGTATTTTAAATAATATTTTATCAATCGATATCTTGTGATTGTCTGCAGTGGAAGACGATGGCGTACTCGAGTCACGCACAATGGCAGGAGAGACACTGAGACGTGTGTTTGGGCAAAATATCAAATGCATTACAGACAGAATATGTTCTATAAGTGCACCAAACTGTAAGTGTCATGTGCTGTAAGATGGATGCACTTGCCATCATATACTGATGCTTTTCTTCACCTACCTTTTCCCCCTGTTAAAATGCTTTTTATTTTAATCTGTGCACTAACAATCAGTTTCAGTGCATTTTGTTAGTTTCTCATTGTCCACAGTAAGGACAGGTATTCCCTGCTGGTAGCAGATACACCAAACCTTGGTATATTTGTTTGGTTGGATTCTTTTGTCCATTGTAGATAAAAGGCTGACTTACAGCATCATTGCAGCTGTATTTGTTTTGTGATTTGGTTAGTTCAATATTAAGCATGTCCTGTTTCTTTGCTTGTGTGTCAATATTGCAGTGGATAGACACCATTATGATCAAAACACAAGACGACGAACAAGAGGAGGGAATACTGCCACTCCGCGGGAGCTGTTCAACCCACTGACACCGAATCAGCAAAGTGAAATAACATCAGAATTTGTCATTTTACCTTCAATGGCTTGGACACATGCACAAGAGGACCCTGGAGCAACAATGCAAATGGATCAGGTAAGGAGACAAGAGAGTGAATCCACAGATATACAGACACAGGTACAAGACAGAGAAAGAACATCACAATCAGTCTCATCACTACCAGGAGATACAACAGAGAGATCTAGAAGCCCAGGAAGTACAAATAACTGCCAGATTGTATCATTATTAAACATTAAGTAGGAGATATACAATTATTACTGGTCTATAGGGTTAAGCATGTTAATAGAACAATCTTAAAATCCTTGTGTAGTTAATTGACCGTACTTGATGGATGTGTCACGTTGGAGTCTGGAATCAATCACATTTTTGTGAAATCACAAAAAACACACCCTCCCTCCAAAAACTAACATCTAAAATGATCCACAAATGTGAATAACCACTGTAAAGCTCTAATTCTTTGGCTGAGGAGTCGCACCATTACCCTGCGTTAAAACAATTGAATGTTTTAAAATAGAGTTTTGAATTTATAAAATAACTCCGTGGTTAACATTTATACCTTTATAGCTTTATACCTCAAATGTGAACTTTGAAGCTGCAATTTGTAAAGCATCTAAACTGACATTCTTGTGGTAGTTGTAGATCTTACTTAGCAACTTGATGGCAGCTTGTTTTTTAAAGTCAGCATGAAATTGAAGTTGTGACCATCTTTTCTTCCCTATTGTGACGAACGAGAAAAGAATGTTATGGGCGGGACTTGATTTTGTCCATGGGGAATTGATTGGATGGTTGAATTGTTGTTTGCAATAGCTTTCATCTCATGTGCTTCGCTTTAAACGAAGCGTTTTAGGAAGGTGCTGAGCCTTAAAGGTGCAGTGTGTAACATTTTTGAGTATTTATTAACAGAAATGCAATATGACATCCATAACTATGTGTTCATTGGTGTATAAAGAACTTACTTAATAAACCGTAATGTTTTTATTACCTTAGAATGAGGCATTTATATCTACATAGGCGCGGGAATCCCCTTCTATGAAGGTCGCCATATTGTGACGTCATGTTTCTACCGTAGCCGAACGCGAACAAACAGCGTTACAGAGCGCGTTTCGTCACTACCTTGAAAGAGAAGCCGCAGGAAGCTAGAAGAAGCTAGCCATAAACACCGTGAGTAGTGACTTTTCCCTTGTCAGTGGTGTAAATATATAGTTGGATTGTTTCATGTAACTTAATTCTTCTCCCTCGCTGTGTTATGGCTTTGCTATGTGGGGATAAATGTGCTGGTTAAGTTTGTGAGACAGCTGATTAGTAGGCTAACGTTACTCTTGTCATTGACCGTAAAACAGTTACAGGAATCACCAACCCGTCGATCTTGGAAGCATTTTAAGTCGATCGAGTTTCCAAAATCAGAGAAAAAAAGCCTATTGTGTGTGTAGTAAGTGTGTCTAGGGGATGCGGAGGCGCGCGCTGTTACAATCACGTCATTTTTGCCGCGCGCACCTTTGGGCTCATGCGGACGCGTCGAGTATAAACAAGGCTTTACGCTTTAACCGGCTCAGCCACAGTAACAGCTCATATTAGCTCATATAAAATATATAGTTTCATGTGGTTCTTCTCCCTCGCTGTATTATGGGTTTGCTATGTGGGGAGAATGTGCTGGTTACGTTCGTGAGACAATCAGCTGATTACTATTATTATATTATGTATTAAGACCCTTGATCCTCACCTGAAACTTTATCTATGATGTGGTTTATAATGGACTGTGGTACAGAAACTTGGTTTACGCTGGCTATTCTCTGCTGTCTCAGACGACGATGTTTGTCCCGTTTTAGCCACCGTAGCTTCTTCGAAAGGGAGGGGTGAGCGGTGGGCTGAGCCCTTAGTGTAAACTCGCAACCGAACCACTAGATGTCGCTAAAAATCACACACTGCACCTTTAACTTTTACAAAGAATATCTCTTTGGGTTTGAGACTTTGAAGCAGATCTTATACACGCACAAACAGCTACATAACACACTAAAGAAAAAGAAAAACAAGAATTCGCATCATATGAGCCCTTTAAACTAGGAAATATTCAATTTTGATTTCATGGTGACTTTAAAAGCGGCTTCAAAATTCACACCCTATACTAGACCCTAATTCACACATTTAAAATCATATTGATATGAAGATTATTTATTTATTATTATTATTAAATATAAAAGTAGAGTAAAAATAGATGCATTTTCCTAGAACCATAACTAGCTACAGCTCTCGGTCATTTGAACACAAAAATATTTCACATTTACAGTCTGTGAACGTCGGTGTCTTTCTAATCTTTACTCATTTTTTGGATGAATCTCCACGCGCGATGCCCGTTCCCTTCGCGCGCGCGCGCCACGTCACAATCACCTACCGAACTCGCGTGAGTCCTCCCACCGCCCACGCGTGACATCTGAAAGAAAGAAAAAATGAATTAAATAAATAAACGAGCGAGGTGCAGTTCCGCCAGGAGCCGTGAGTGTGTGAGCGCGTGAATGTGTGTGAGTGTGTGTGTGTGTCGTCTGTCTGAAACATGAACCGCTTGCATTAGACATCAGGAGGGCGATTTCAAACGGGGCAAAAATCACCACCAACATCATCATCATCATCCTTCTCTTCCACGGGGAAAACCTGTTCGCACGCGCCAGGGAGCAGGAAGATCAAATTAGGGTGGTGAAATTATTTGTGCAAGCAGCCTATGAAGGGGAGGAAGGTGTAACACATACACTATAATAGAGTGTGTGTTGTTTCCATTAGTGGTAATGATCTTGTGTACTACTCTTAATTATCAGCACTAAAAACATTCGAGGAAAACTGGAGCGTACATGTCGTGATCTGAGAAAAGCATCGGGTTATGCTTATGGATTAACATATGATCTTAACTCAACCCAGGTCAAGTGAGTATGCTGTTTAGTATAGATGTCTACACTGTGTCTGTAGTGCACTAAATGTATGTATATTGTGTCTGATGTGATGTTGCATGCAATTTTCTGTTATGGGATTAAATAAACTCTCTTCATGTCTATTTATCATATGTTTCCTCTAGTGTTTAATGGGTCGGGGTGTTTTATGCGGTGGTGAGCATTACTTTCACAACATTCAACAAGTATTTTTTTGTGCTGCTTTAATGTGGTGCGTTCATGGTAAATGCATTGATGCTGAACCCGGCCACACCAGCACTAACAGCATTTGTGTGGGATATCATGGCACACGGGCAGGTGTGTGAAATGAGATGCGGGACACACTACATGCATGTCCACATGTTTTGCACAGTCTATTTGAGCATATCCTCACACAGCCAGATTTATGAGGATTAACAGGTGGAATAGGATTGCTTGGGATCATTTTCACCTATTGGCCCGAGTGTAAGGCAGAACCGTGGATAACCAGTGTCACGTCTTTTCTGCAGGGATGAGTAATCAGGGAGAGACTGAGAGAGAGAAACGGACAACAGAGCAGAGCTTGTGTGAACTCGTGAAATAAAAGCATGGAAGAGGGCAGAAATGGAAGGCAACAGGTTTTATTTATATACGGTGTAAATAATTAAAGAGCTGTTCATGGATGTTGAACTCGGTGACCAGTGGTTTGGTATGATTGCTGCAAAAACTGAAAAGCCGGTTGATAATTGAAAGATTAATCTGATACATGCTTTATATCCTTATTCCTCCACGTTAAACAAAGGCATTTGCTCTTAAATCAAATCACACACCGAGCTAATGGAATCAGATGTGTTGGAGCATCTGCTACTTTTATTAATACAGTTCTACTTATGACTTTTGAGTGAAATACAGTTTTACAATCACACTTGATTGAATTAAAATAAGTTGTGATTGATAAGTATTTCAATATTATTCCCAATTCTCTCCCACTTTTATCTGTTCTTCTGTAAATAAGCAGTCAAAAAGTAGTTAGGCTTTTATGTTTTAGTCTGTTTGGACAATCATAAGTGAGATTGAATTGATATAATGGTCAGTAATTTTTGGTTTTGTTTGTGAAAGAAGTCTCTTCTGCTCACAGAGGCTTAATTTTTTTAAGCAAAAAATACAATAAAAACAGTATTGTGAAATATTATAATTTACAATAACTGTTTTTGGTGAATTTATTTTAACATGTAATTTATTCCTGTGATCAAAGCTGAATTTTCAGCATCATTACTCCAGTCTTCAGTGTCACACGATCCTTCAGAAATCATTCTAATATGATGATTTGCTGCTCAAGAAACATTTCTGATTACTATCACTGTTGAAGACCGTTGTGCTGCTTTCAACATATCAAAACTGTAGACTTCTCATTGGTATCTGTAAAATATTGTCCTCTATTATCCCGATTTTAGGGTCGATTGATCTGTGGACAGTGTAAAAAGTTCTGTACTGCAGATGGCAGTGGATTACATGCTGAGATGATGTGGTCATATTTATTATTATTCTTTATAAGCAAGTATGATCTTACATAATTGTTAAACCTAAGTTACAGAAATATATCAGTTATTGGCAACAAAACTGTAACATTTCAATAGTTGGTTGGATTTAGAACACATACTGATCCTGTAATACCAAACAAGTTGTATTATCCTTTCAGTTTAATTTTTTGCAAGTTTGCAGTAAAGAACCTTGTCTTGTATTCGGCGAAGTTAACTGGCTGTATTTGTCAAGACAGTCCTTGTGAAGTTCCAACGGGTCCGTTGACATTTACGTGATGATGTCACTGTGCCCCATCTCTGCTAGTCCGCTAATAGATTCTCTGTCTCTCTCTCTTCAGACACTTTGCTGTAATTGCTGTTAAACTTGAGAAAGAGCTGAGCTCTCAGACGCAGAGGTGAGGAAGGGGTTACACTGCTGTAAGATGATACTTTCCTCATTTAGCAACTTTGACCTCTTAATCATTTCATATTTCTCGTAATCCCTTATATTTCCCAGTCTCAGATTTCTGTTTTATACACAGCTTCTATTTGCCTCTGACTGAAAGGTAGCCTACACTGAAAAGAAAAAGTTGCTGCCATAAATGAAGTGCCAACTTGAATCTTTAAGTCATTTTAACTTAAATTACATTAAACTGATTTTTTTTTTAATGAGCTGAATCTTGTATAACTTATGAAAAAAAAGTTGAAATTTGATGAGTTAAAGCAATGTAAAAACATGTTGTCATAACTTATTGATCATATAATTTCATACAATGTATGAAACCTAAAATACTTCTGTTGGAGTTGCTGTAGCATTTGTTAGTTGCGTATATTATTCTATTTTCAACTTTAACATTTTTGCTACTGTGTGTTCATTTAGGATTAATATTCATCCTCTCGTCTCAACCACACAAAATATGTTAATTCACTTTTTATGATTATCAAAGCATAGTTAGATCTTTTGATCATTTTAAAATGTTTACTTACAATGTAATCTGCATATAAAATGTATATCTTACTAATAATTCTAGTCATGAAGTACGTTTACCAGCTGTTTACTTCGTGAAATGTAATAAAAAGGTTAGTGTGCTGCACACGTTTCCAAAAAGAGGAAGAGCTCCTCTGGCAGCCAATGGCGCAGTTGCGCGCTCTTTTGTTTGGAGGATAATGGGCTGCTATGTGTGCTCACAGGTAGCCCAGAATGATAGTTTGCCCTTAAGGAAGGTGGAAACGCTTGTCTACACAGCAGCTGAAGCAGACAATATGGAGTCTGCTTTCCACTGCGGTCTGTAGCACGTCGCTGAATGAAAATGTGAGACGCGCTGACTCGCGCGCGCGCGCACGCACACACACACACACACACGCACACAATCACGGAGTCTGCTGCTGAGATGTGTTATGTTCACAGCTGCTGAAATCGACACATCACCAGTGCGTCACGTGATGTCCTGTCTATCCGAAATGATTTTTATGATGTGAATCATGCATTTTGGGTTTTATTGCTGAAGTATTTTTGTATCAATAAATACCCCGTGCTTGCGCGAGATAAGACTGCTAGCAGGCAGGGAAAATATCCTTTTAACGTGCTCTCTCTCTCTCTGTCTGTCTGTCTGTCTGCACATAATTCTTTCTGCATCAGTGGATCTAATGTTTTGACCTTTGAAGGAGGAAGAGGAAGACGTGGGACGGTGTGCGCTTTTGATGAATGTCTCGATAGAATGGTTGAAATTGTTGGCGCAAAGATCAGATCAGGGAACAGAGAGAGAGAGAGAGTGTGTGTGTGTGGTGTCACTGCAAAGGGGAGGCGACTGCAGCACTCTGCATCGGTGCAGTTCCCTTCATGTCCTGATGGGGCTCCACTGCACCAGACGGGAACATGTGAGGGGCTGCCAGACTTTAATATACTGTAGATGGGGAGCTATAAGATGAGGAGAGTTTTGGAATGCATATCATGCCTATTGCAACTTAAAGGGATAATTCACCCAAAAATGAAAATTAGCCCATGATTTACTCACCCTCAAGTCATCCTACATGTATATGACGTTCTTCTTTCAGACAATACAATCGGAGTTATATTAAAAAAATGTCCTGGCTCTTCCAAGCTTCATAATGGCAGTGAATGGCCGTTTCTGTTTTAAAGTCCATAAAAGTGCATCTATCCATCATAAAAGTGCATCTATCCATCATAAAAGTGCATCTATCCATCATAATAGTGCATCTTATAAAAGTGCATCCATCCATCATAAAAGTGCATCCATCCATCATAAAAGTGCATCTATCCATCATAAAAGTGCATCTTATAAAAGTGCATCCATCCATCATAAAAGTGCATCCATACATCATAAAAGTGCATCTATCCATCATAAAAGTGCATCTTATAAAAGTGCATCCATCCATCATAAAAGTGCATCTCCTAAAAGTGCATCTATCCATCATAAAAGTGCATCTATCCATCATAAAAGTGCATCCATCCATCATAAAAGTGCATCTTATAAAAGTGCATCCATCCATCATAAAAGTGCATCCATACATCATAAAAGTGCATCTATCCATCATAAAAGTGCATCTTATAAAAGTGCATCCATCCATCATAAAAGTGCATCTCCTAAAAGTGCATCTATCCATCATAAAAGTGCATCTATCCATCATAAAAGTGCATCTATCCATCATAATAGTGCATCTTATAAAAGTGCATCCATCCATCATAAAAGTGCATCCATACATCATAAAAGTGCATCTATCCATCATAAAAGTGCATCTTATAAAAGTGCATCCATCCATCATAAAAGTGCATCTCCTAAAAGTGCATCTATCCATCATAAAAGTGCATCTATCCATCATAAAAGTGCATCCATCCATCATAAAAGTGCATCCACCCATCATGAAAAGTGCTCCACACTAGAGTTCTCAACGGGTCGGGTCGGCCCGACGGGACCCACGGGTTCGGGTCGAAAATATTTGCAAATGACTCGGGTCGGGTCGGACCTCGGGCTTAATCTTTTAAATTGTACAGTGAAAGAAAAAAAAAACATTTATTATTCATCGCTGCTGTTCACTGTAAAGAAAGTCTGGCTGCTGCGTGCAACGTGCATCGCGACGCGAGGGCAGACCTGACGCCGCTGCGTGCACGCCTTTAGCCCGGAGAAGAAGATGGAGTTGGTGAAAAGTAAACTTGCTGCAGGTGAAATCACCGTTGCTCAGGGGCGGCGCGACACGTTGTGTGATTATCTCGGCAGTTTAGGACATCGCACAAGATTTGCGTCAATACAGAAAACATTTAATCACTGGATATTTTTTTTCGTTTATTGAAATGTGGTTTATGTCAGCTGGATGGGCGGAATGTGTGAGACGTGAGAGTGCGCGCGCGCGCCCGCGCGCGGCCGGGGCTCTCTCTCTCTCTCTCTCTGCGTCAAGCGCAGCAGTCATTCTACATACATCATTCACCGATCAAAAGGGTGGCGTCGGGCCGCGGGTCGGGTTCGGGCAGATAATTCATTC